TGTTTTGAAGAATCTTCACGTGATTTTCATAGTGGTTGTACCAGTTTACGTTCCCACCAACAATGTAGAAAGGTTCCTTTTCCCCCACATCCTTGCCAGCATTTTTTTGAGTCCTTTATGATAACCATTTCTACTGTAGTATGATGGAATCTCAGTGCTATTTTAATTTCTAATGGCCAAAGATGCTGAACATTTTTTCATGTACTTATTGGCTATTTGTACTTCTTCCGTAGAGAAGTGTCTATTCATTTCAATTGCTCATTTTTCATTGGTTCTTTTAGCATTTTGGAGGGAGGTCTAACTTTTTTGGCTAGTCCTCTCTCCAAGGACTAGCTGGCAATATTTTCCTATTGTGTAAGTTGTCTCTTCACTCTGTTGGCTGTTTTCTTTGCTGTGCAGAAGTTTTTAATTTGATATAATCCCATTTGTTGATTGTTGGTGTTATTTCTTGTGCAATTGGGATTCTGTTCAGAAAGTTCTTGCTTAAGCCTATGTTTTCAAGAGTTTTACCAATTTTATCTTCCAGCAGATTCATTGTTTCTGTTTTCATATCTAAGTCTTTGATCTATTTTGATTTTATTTTAGTACAAGGTGAGAGGTGTGGGTTTAGACTCATTCTTCTGTATGTGGATAACTAGATTCTCCTGTACCATTTTTTAAAGAGGCCATCTTTTCTTCAGTGTATTTGTAGGGGGCCCCTTTTTAAAAATTCAGACAGCCAAAGATGCATGCGGTTGTTTTTGCATCTTCAATTCTATTCCATTGGTCAATATGTCTATTTTTGTGTCAGTACAATGCTGTTTTTATTATTGTAACTTTGTAGTATAATGAAAGCTGGGATGGCAGTGCCTCCTGCTTTGCTCTTTTTGCTTAGGATGGCTTTGCCTTTTCTGGGTCTCTTCTGCTTCCATTTAAATTTTGAGATTGTGTTTTCTAGTTCTCTGAAGAATGCTATTGATACGTTGATTGGGACTGCATTAAACTTATATATCAGTTTTGGTAATGTGGCCATTTTGGAAATATTGTTTCTGCCTATCCCGGAACAGGTAATGTCTTTCCATAAAGGAGGAAAAGGTTTAAATGAGAAAGAGATATATCTGATATTTGCAGGCTGATGGGAACGATCCCAGCAAATAGGGAGGAGTTATTAGTGAAGGAATTAAAGGAAATAACCAGGAAAGCAGAGATCTTGGGAAAACAAGGGATGAGACACAGAACATGCATGAACAGGATGGTTATTGGTGGGAATGGGAATCATTCATTTTAACAGAAGAAGGGAAGATGGAAGAACATATAAGTAGATTGTTGTACATTGTGGGAAGAGAAGAGAGTTCTCCTCCTTGAAAAGAGAATCTACCATTGGCTCCTGTAAATTGGATAATGAATAATCCCTAGAGTAATTTGTTATTGTTCAAGCAATTAAAGATTTGAGAGTGGATATGAAAGACAAATAAAGAATAGATTCCTAGAGGAAAAAAATAGTTTCGAATCTTAATGGTAAAATAGTTCTATCAGTGTCTGTACACAATCTGATTCTATTAGAATTTAAAATTGTTTTACTAAATAAATAAAAATATTATGGTTCATTTAAAAAAGTGCATGTTTCTCTCCATCACTGAAATAATCTGACCTGGAGTTTGTACATTTTACCACTGAGTAATTTTATACTCTTGAAAGCCATTAAACTGTGTGACAGAATATACCCTATTATGAAACTTTTTATGTTATAAAAACTTAAACCTGTAAGTCAGCTGTGTCCAATGGCAGCCCAGGACCCTTATAATGTGGCTGCACAAGATAGTAAACTTTTAGCTTTATTATATCATTTTTAGCGATTTTTTTCCATGACTTGACCTTGTGATGCTTGATCTTGGACTATGGAAGTGACAACAGAGGGCATAGAGCAGCAGTAACTCTGCCGCCTGTGTCCACCACACATAGTCAGATTAAAAGTTGGATGAGTCAGATGTTACACGTACTTGTGCAACTTGGCAAGTAAAATGCAGCAATTACCAATAATAGTATCTCAACTCTACCTATCTGTGTGAGCCTCTGAAGACAGGTGTTTATTGTTACTAAAGATATGGAAGTTTTATTAGTTTATTAAACTTGGGCTTGCTTGTTGTTTGGTTTCATAAAATAATTTAATAAGTTAACAGAAGTTAATGTTTCTTAGCAGCTGTAGTACAAAAATTACAAAAATATACCAAATGTTTTTTTGCTTATGATATTGTTCTAATTACATATATAAGATTGCTAATACTAGAAAACTAAATGAGTGCTTATTGTTAATTTTTAGAATTGCAGTCAGACATTCAACTCACTGAAAAATTTGATCATGTCTCTATTAGACCTTTTTTTTTTGGTACTGGGGATCAAATTCAGGTCTTTGCGCTTGCGGGGCAGGCAGCAGCGCCACTGAACTAAATCCCAGCCCCCTATTAGACTTTTTAAAAGACCTATCTTCCTAGAGAAGATTTTCCCTTGCTTCACAGTCATGCCTTATTTGTGTCATGATTTTTTGGCAGTACGTATCTTTGTGAACAACTATTTTCAAGCATGAAGCATGTAAGAGTAAAATTAGATAAAATAGTTCTCACCAGCATCTTGAGAACTCACTAAGAATTGCAAATACTTCCATTAAACCAGATACTGATGCATTCATTTCACAAAAAGGCCAACTATGCCACTAGTTTTTATGTTACCCTTTTAAATGTTATAATAAAAACATAATAATATAAAGGAAATTTTATACATATTAAGTATATTAGATATTTTGTATGTGGCTCAAGACATCTCTTCTTCTCTAGTGTGGCCTAGGTAAGCCACATTAAACTTCAGCAATAGTTAAGTAATGGGAGTTAAAACTTGTAATATTCTTTGGGTCTCAAGTCCATACATTTCAAATATGCTAGAATATGCAACCCTCTCAATAACCTCATATTGTGTGCACCATCATTGTCATCCCAACTTCACAGATTTGGAAACTGAGCCTCAGAGGAGTCACACAATTTCCCCAGAGTTACCCAGCCAGTAATTTACAAAGCCAAGGTTATGAATCCATGGAGTCCAGACCCTGGATCTGGGAGCTGAAAACACCAAAAACATGAAGTTAGTGGTAATGCTGACAAAAAGAAAGCAAAGTGAGTTTCAACTGAGAATAAGTAATGGTCAGCAATATTGACGGCAATTACAATATGAATGAAAACATTCTACCTTTAAAATTAATATTGCTCTTATAAACTGATGAAAATCACTGATTTATAGGAAGGGTGTCCAACCTCACAATGCTATGTCTGCCTATATCTAACAAATGCTTTCTTTTAACACTTTTATCACTTGTTTTTGTTTTTCCTGTTTTGAGACATAGAAGTCTACCATCTTTAATATATTCATAAATATTAATCTTTTATGATTCTATTCTTTTGTGTTGTGTAAAGGGTGTCTTTTTCTTCTCCTCCTATTCTAATTTTATAAATATGGATAATTTAAAAACCAGAATATTTGAATATCAACACTCATATCAGGGAAGGTGTGAGTCAGCTCTTCAGAGAGAGCCCCAGCCCACGGGGTGAATGCATATTACTATGTGAGTAGCATTTGCTCAGTGTATGATGTATGAAGCTGTTTAATGGTAATATGGAGTCAAAGTCCTCCAATGCCACATATGTATCCATTTGTATGTCCAGAGATGGAACGGTTTCATGTGTATAGCTGAACCAAAATTCAAATAAAGCCCTGATTTTGTTAATATGCACTCATTTAGAAATTCAAATAATAAAACCAAAAGAAAGACAATCTTTGTCTAAAGGCACTTCACTTATTCTGCTTGAATTGGTGGTGCAACTTCAGCCAGGATCTCAAATGCTGCCGTGATTAGAGGTGCTCTCCACGTGCACACTGGAAGCAGATTTGCAGGGGGAAAACCCCAGAGTTGCTAGCTAAGTAGTTTTAGTGCTTCTTGGAACCTCAGCAAAGCAAGCAACTCTATAAATAGCATGAAATGAATTTCAGGGCTGGAGAAATTAGATCTTCTTTGCAAAATTTGGTTTGGAAACTGTGATGGAGATGGTTAATTTTATACATCAACTTGACTGGACCATTAGATGTTTGGTCCAACATTATTCTGAGTCTTTTGCTGAGGCTCTTTTGGGGTGAGATTAACATTTAAATTGGTACACTGAGTAAAGCAGAAAGCACTCCCTAATGTGGGTCGGCTTCATTCTTCTAGTCAGTTGAAGGTTTGAATAAAACAAAAGCTGATCCTCCCCCAAGTCAGACAGAACTCCTTCTGCTTGACTGGCTGCTAACTGGAACACTTTTTTCCTGTCATTGGGTTCAAAGTGAAATGTGTACTAGATTTTCTTGGATCTTCATCAGACTAGCCATGGCCTGGAATTGCATCTTGGCTCTCCTGGGTCTCCAGCTTGATGGATCACTCTGCAGGTGTTAGAACTTGTCAGCTTCCATAATTGTGAAGTCCTTAAAATAAACCTCTTGCTATTTTTTATTCTCTCTCTCTCTTGGTTTTATTTGTCAAGACAACTTTGACTAATACAGAAGTGCTGAATATAAACTTATCCAAGGACAAAAATAAAGTATTACCTATTAAAAATCCTAGTTAAATCATGGCTAAGTCCAAGGCACTACCTCTTGGATGCAAATTGTGTCATTAGTCAAATGACAGTATTAATATGTATCACACAAACTTGTTGGGGGCTCATACTAGACAATAAAACAAACTACAAAAAACTATTATTACAGTTTATCTGACATGACTCATGAATGGAAATGACCTCAGGAAGATACTCTCCTCCAAATGATTTTGGAAGAATTGGAAATAGAAAATTATTACCTACCCTACCCCAAACACACTGCAAAGATGTACATACACACACACACGCACACACACTCACACACTGTATACATGCTCATATACACAAACAGACACACTTACTGACACATAAATAACCTGTCTGGGGGAAAATAAAGCAGACTGCTTAATCTTTAAACATTTTTATTGTGCAGATTTATAACCTTTATAGGACATGCAGATAAAAAAGTGTAAAATGTATCAGTAAGCATATAAAATTTCAGCAATCTTTTGGACCAGCAATTGACTTGCATGAGAAACTAAGAAACTAGGTACAACAGACATGTCTTGGGATACATATTGTACAGACTGAATCATAAAGTCATTTCCCAAGTGATTTTTAATATAAAGATAAAAATATCTTTACACTTAAAAAAGCACACAGTATAGTACATTTTCGGTTATGAACACAGTTTGAAAGTAAAACTATGTCCGTGCCAGTGTCTATTTTAAATGCAAACAACCAAAGTAGGTAATAGATTGGTAAAATGTCAGGGAAACCAGAGGAGGCAAAAAAAATCAAGCAGAGTTCCCATAAGTGTATGAAAATAAAAATAAAAGCATAACTGGAGGTTAAAAAGAAAGTTTCCAAGGGCACAATCACAATATGAGCAAGAGGAATAAAAAGCTTTTGGATGTACCAGGCAGCTTTCTGTATGACTCAGGTTTACAGGTGAAATTCCTCAGTTTGAGTTCAGAAGAACTTGAACTTATTCCAGCAAAATTACTTCAATCTTTTATTACTGCCTCCTCCCACATCTCTCTGAGCAAATGATGCTTGGATTAGGTCCAAGGATCCTGGCAGTGGGAGGGGCCAAGTGTCACAGCATAACAGATGCTTGCGTGTGCTCCACTTAGAAGGGGTCATGTTTACAACAACTCTGACAGTCTCACACAATGGCCTCATTTTGACAGCTCTTCCCTGGAGGCCCACCAATCAACTGAAAAGGGAACACAATGTTGAGCCACTAAACCACCCCTGTGATGGATTAGTTTGGATTCAGGAAAGCGTGATTATTCTTGAAAATAAATGAAGCTGCATAAACATATTGCCCTCACTCCACTGATGAGAGGCAGGAAAAGTTGGCTTCCACTCCTGCCAGCCCAGAGAGGGCTCAGCCCCATTCGTCCACTTTAATTTATTTCATTGGGCTGATGTTGGCCATAATCAACATGGATAAAGGTATTACATGATCAAATGCAGACATGAGCTTCACCAGATTCTGTATCTCAGAGTCAGAAAGAAGTATAGGGAGCTAGGTAACTGATTTCCTAATTCTGGTCTTCAAGGAAGCTATTGACTTAATGAAAGTTGATGAGTTAGATCCTGTTTGAAAAGGCAAGTGTGAAAAATAGGAAGGCACTTAGGTCTCATTGTCTATATAACATATTCAGGCACAGAAAATGTCATAGTTTTTGTTAAAATTTTAAGAAGAGTAAGGCATTAGTGGGGTCATGTGAATGCAGAAGATTATGCTTTCTAACTTCATAAGGATCACTAGATCACATTGGACTATTAAGGAAAATGGCAGCAATTCACTAACTCCTCAGATGACAGGGGAAATGTTTGCTTAAAATCTTCCCACATACCTATACAGCCATGGCCATAGCCTGGAATCTTCATTTTCTATAAAATGATCAACATTTTAGGGTAGGCTGTTGAAGTTATTGGTTCGCTTTTTTCTCTTCCTCAGTTTTTCATATTTCTCCCAAATTATCTTTCAACAAAATGTTCATATTTCAGCCAGTTAAACAATGATCCACATGCAAAAAAAAAAAAAAAAGAAAAAATTGGAATGGGTTTAAAAAATTCAGACCACCAAAAATAGATGAAATAGCTCAGAAGAGACCAATAATAGTTATGAAAACTGAGAAAGTGATTTCTTTGTTCTGAACCAAGATAAATCATTCATGAACTGTTGCTGTATGAGCAACTCAAAACTTGGAATTGGCACCAAGAAAATTAAAAGGAAAAAAATCAGGAATACTTCTATCCTGGAAATGTCATTTATATTTCTTTCTGCATGTTGATGCGAATGTTGCTGAATATTTTGCCAATAGCTTCAAAGAGTGGGTCACAGAAGGTGTGGACGTAGATGGAATAGACACGGCTGATGCACTGAATCTCAATTAGGAAGCTCTTAATGCATGGTACAACTGCCCAGATGTGCAGGAAAGAGAGAATGGCAAAGTAAATGCCCCAGATGAGTGCCATTGGGATGCCAAAGAGGGTGGAGAGCAAGCGGTAAAACCAGTATTTTGTCACAGTGAAGGTGGTGAAGCTGGCCTTCCAGATGCCGTCAAAACTGTGTGTCCCCTCTGGTTCTGCAATCACATCTTCAAAGTCAATCTAAAAGAAAGAAGTTACAGAATGAGTAGGAACAGAAGAAGAGAGGAGAAACAAACAGTATTCATACATATAGCTTGGATTTATATGCCAGTATTGTGGAAGAAGCCTAAAGGCAGCAGCAGCAATATCCCATGGGAGTCATCTGTAACAGATATGTGGGCTCCCTTCTGATCTGATATCTCTATGGTGGGGCCTAAAAGAATTTTAACCTACTTTTACGGTGTTTCTTTACCATTCCAAAGGCTGAGAATTACTGCTCTAGGAACAACAAAATTGATATGATTAAATTTCTAGCCTTAAAGTAAAACCCAGCAACATGGATAAGGATACCAAGCACCAAGTGAAATGTAAAAACCATGACATAATTTAGTTGCTTTTGAAGACAACTACGCACACACAATGTTAAGGAGAAGTTAGTTCAAAATTGATTACAATTAGCAAAATTACTTCAAGAAATTAGATCATTATAAGTTGTGAGGTATTGAGAAGACTTCATAGGGTGGTGAGTCTTAGGAACTGAAGGAAGAAGAGCCTTGGAAATGTGCACAAAGCCCCAGGAATAAAACAAGGGTGAAGTTATTATCACAGGAATAGTAGACTGCTATGGCCAAGGCTGGAAAGGCAGGTTGAGTCCAGAGTAGATGTTATTTTCCATAGAGTGGGAGCAGAGTGTGTAGTCACAGTCAATGCAGTAGTTGGTCAAGATGAATCTGACAACAGTTAGTAGGACGGGGAAAAGGTGAGGAGACTTAATGAGGGAGGATGCTGCTAAAGACCAAGGTGGAGACAGTAGGGCCAAGACTTGAAAAGTAGTAGTAACAGAAAAAGAAGGAGGAGGAGGATAGAGTAGAGAAGGAGGAAAAGGAGGAGGAAAGAAAATAGGAAGGAAAGCTGGAAGGAAGGAAAGCTGGAAGGAAGGAAGAAAGGAAGAAAGGAAAGAAAGAGGGAAGAAAGGAGAAAAAGGAACAAAAAAGAAAAGAAGAAATTTCAGGGACATTAAGGGAAGAATTTACTGGATATGGTTACTTGAAAGACAGAGAGAAAGAGAAGCTTAGGATGGCCTTTAGTATTTGAGCTTCTGATATGCCTGCTAGGGAGAACAGAGATGACATGAAAAGCAAGGAGAAAGTTAAAAGAGAAGGCAATTTAATAAAAAGTTAACCAGAGGTAGCTTCACTTTTGAATGAAATGAATTAAAAGTAAAGTTTTGGATAATGACATATAAATATGAGTCATCTGCACCTAGTGAATCCTGTAGAAGTTCCTTTTGGAGGCAATGAGGAAGCAATCAAGTTAGCTTACATAATAGTCACCTAATACTTCTGTCTGCATTGTCTCCATGTGACCTGGGGTTTCAGGTCTACTTGGGTATATGGCTTATTGTCATTTCACAAAAGAGGAGAGGCAAAGGTGACTTGCTAAAGTCAAACACATGGAAAGGTCAGGATGCAAACTTGGCCCATTTTCTAATAGCATTCTTTTCTAGGTTCCTGTTCACCAACACAATTCATTTTCAGGATTTCATAAACAACATCATAGGTTTAAATACAGAATGACGAACAGAAAGGCAGGGCATAATCAGCTCAACTACTCGGTGGTGGCAAATGGCAACTATATGAAGATATCTAATACAGTGTGAAATCCAAACAAATTGATGACTTGCCAGCAGCAATTCAGTCAAGCTCAGGATTAGGGAAGGAGGACTTGGATAACTCCTTGGATCTGTTCAATGCCAAAAAGCCACCTTTGATTCAACACAATAAAATGTCTTCTGGAAAAAGAACATGATGTTTACCAACTTAAAAGTTTATTTTCTAGAACATTTTGTTTCTTGACCTATTGCCCAAAGTCCTAACAGTGTAATATATAAAAATGGTATGGTTGGCATTTTGTATGTGAAATTAATAAATTTATTGTCATTTTAGATTATTTTTGCCCATTTAGATCAGAGGTATACATTTACTTGTTTTTTGTAAGGTTGTGGTAAATATGTGAAAAATCAAGGCACTAATGAAGCTTCTACGCAACTTCTTTGCTTATTGTGGAGTTATAGTCTGATACCACACTCTGACACCATGTAAAAATCAAGGCCTATGATTTTCCTTCATTCAACTGTGATATGTCCCAATGTTTACTTTTTAAAGATGATCTTTTTAAGAAATCTGATGAAGTAAAAATTATTACAATAGAAGAACATTCTTAACCTGTCATCAAAGGATTAGCAATAGTGGTCCACAAACACCCAAGATTGGTACACATGCTTTGAGTGTGATTAAAATACATTATTCACATTACCCCTACCCCCTAAAAACATGTAAAACTAGAAAGGAGGTGGGCAAGAGTGGTGGTAGGAGAGAAATGACTAAACTATGTTGTGTGCGAGTACAAATCTGCCCAAGTGAAACCCATTAATCTATATGCACTAACAAAAAAATGCGAGTAAACAAGACAAAGGGAAAGTATCCGCCACATTTATTAGAAAATAAAATCTTTTACCAAAGAAGGAGAAGAAGCAGTTTATTAGACAGAGACAATTCCTTCCTCTGTACAGAGCAGACTCAGCATATCTGCACTGAGATTCTTTTCCAAGAGAAGAGATAGTTTCTAATATTTGTTGACTGGTTATTATGATTAAATGTTTTCATTTAATTCATGACAACTCTATATTATTCCCAGTTTGTAGAAAAAAAAATGAGATTTGGAAATGTTAGTGAATGCTCAGGTAAATAAGAGGGTTTTTTTGCTATTATATCTGGTTTTAATCTTTCAAAGTTTCTCTAAGATGAGATAGTATTTTGTAATAATTAAAAACATAATAATAAAAAAGAATTTGCTGAATTTAATCCGTCATGTAACTAGTAATTCTCATAGTATGGCTTCTGAGGACAATGTTATATCATATATACAACTGGCCCACACTAAGTATGTGGTGTGATTGAAAACTACAGTGAGTGTTTAAATTTTAAAAAATTATTATGATAAAAAACACATTACCACTAATCCCCCTCAAAATATTCTGCCTTACTTTGAATATACTTATCCCATGGTTCTTGCCACTTTTTGAGGCAGTTCTAGAAGTCCTCTTTTATGTCTTTAGTTATGCTGTCATGGATACCTTGATATTCTGAATCAATCCAAAACATTAACTTTGAGTAAGAGCCAGAAATTGTACAATGCCAGATCTGGTGAATCAGGTGGTTGAGGGCACACTGTAATGTTTTTACAAGCCTGTTTTTCTGTTGGATGGCACAGCATTTACCATATTTTTGATCACATTAGGTAAAGATACTTGGGAAAGAAGACTTCCAGAACTGCTTAAGAAAGTGGGAAGAACCCTAGGATAAGTGTGCACAAAGTGAAAGGGAGTATTCTGAGGGGGACTGGTGGCAATATGTCTTTTACTGTAATGAATTTTAAAATTTAAGCATTCACCATATATTTTGATCATACCACATATAGGCATTGAGTGAAGTTTATCTATGAACATATGAGTGCATGTAAAATTTCCTGATAATAAATACTCTTCTAAATGTAAATATAAATGCTTTTTTTCCATGGACTTATTGGAAGTTTTTTATGCTTTCTTTTCAGCTGCTTGGTAACTTTTTCAGTGACTGTATTTTTAGTGCTTTCTGGAAACTGCTAGTGGGCATGATTTATCCTCAAATAGCCAAGTGAAGTTGGAGCAGGTCTGCAGGTATATACAGCAACATGATCAAAACACATTATATAAATATATTGTTAGATTTTACTTTAGTCTTGAAAAATTTAAGGTGTCTTAAAATAACACTCAAAGAATATAGTCATTTAGGTGCAGCTGAGAAAAACGAGCAGGGCAGGTACAATGGAAGCAGATGTGAAGCCTAGCTTCACTCTTCCTCCCACTTCTACAATGGTAATTGGTTAGGGCTTGGTGAGGAGTGCAAGAGACACTGTAAAGTACTTAATATGGGTATAGACCCGTGCAGTGCAGTAAATACTCAATAAGCAGTAGCTTTAACAAATTCCTTGCTCTGGTTGACTAGGTTTCTTAATAGGCAATTGTAATACGAAAAATTACCAGTGGCAAAGTACATAGTTGGCTGAGAATTCAATTTTTTCCACTGGCTCAAAAGAACCAACCCGCATTTGTAATAATCTTTTCAAAGGAGGATACTAGGGGAAGTTAAGAAATTGCTCAAGGTCACCCCAATGCTCGCTGGAACTTGTTTGCAGCTTTTGCTTTTGTCTCCCTGAAACTTTGAGCCCGTACAATAGCATTATTGGTTTAATTTTCATACAGCTAGATGGGCTTCCTAAAACAGTCACATTTTGATTTTTCAAGGAATGACTCTTGTTAATGTTTCCACTTTAAGTTAGGACATCTAGCAACTAGGATGTTTCATATTTTTAGTACAGATTTTATTTTTATGGCTCTGATCAGTATGTTCTCATAATCTTGGGCACTCAGCCAGGATTATTTTATTCTAATTGGGAGATATGCAAACTGAGGCACAGAATGATCAGAGGGGGCCAGACATTCTCAAGGTCCAAAGTAAATTAGTGGAAAAGCTGAAATTAGAACTCTAAATTCACAATTCCTAGGCCTATGTCCAGCCCTATGTACCACACCACTCCCCTAAGAACTTACATCATCTTCTCTACCAAACCCTTTTGAGTTTCTAGGTTTCTGTAAGTCTCTCATTACCTTCTAAGGCACTAACTTGAAAGATGTCTCTGTATACTCTTAGGAAAAATGTCCTTTTCACAATGTAAACATTTTTGTACATTATCTAAGGTGAAGAAAATTGGCATTAAATGTTCATTTTCCATATTGGCTTGTGTTCAAAATGCACTTCACCCAGCTAAGTTCTGCTAACTGAACAGTCACTCCATCAAAAGGAGTTCAAAAATTCCACCTCAATCAAAGCCCAGATGCTTCAGGAATTTCATAGGTATTTAAAAGAATTCCATTTGAGATAGAGAAATTGAAGATCACAGCTGTCAGATGGCTGGATCGA